ATGCCTTTCCCCACTCCTTCTGCCATGTTTCCCTTCCCAGAGTCCCACCTTCTCCCATATCCTTCTCCCCTCACTGTGGCCCCGCTCCTCTGCCACCCCCTAATCCACCTCCCATCCCTGCAAGTAGTCACACTTCATTTTTTATGAGAAGATTTACCCAGCATAGATTGAATTTTTAACTCCATTAATTTTTCTTTTTTGGAAAATGAAAGGAAAACGGACATGCTTCATTTAAATCATTGCTCTGGGGGTGGATCTAGGGATGAGAGGTTCAGTATGTAGGCTGTCCTGGGGAGAGAGGATAACCTAAGCCCTCTCTCATTTCAGCAGCTTGGGGCCAGGTAAGAAGGACTGCTCCATGGCCTCTGCATCTCCAGTGGGCACAGCTGGGGAGGGGTTCACATGTCCTGGCTGGGGCAGGTCCAGGTTTGTCTGCCCCCTGCTCTTCCCAGCCAGAGTGAGGAATGCAGCAAACTGTGCACTTTCCCCTCTCTACCTGATGAAAAGGAACAGACAGTAATGTTCCTGTACAAAGCGGGGAGGAGGAGGTTCAGCCCTCCCAACCTCCCTAAAGGGTGCTTGGGGGTTCGGAGGCTCTGGGTTCGGACTGTCCCAGGCAGGAGCAGGTACACCCCCTTCTACCTGCCTGGTGATTCTGTCTCTTTTCTGCATGTTTTTTTGAGGAGCAATCCCATTCCAGGGATATCCCATTGTCCTGGCACAACCAAACCCTGACCTTGCTTTAGGTTATGATAAGAGGAAGCTATATGCTGAATTTGGTGGGCCTAGCTCTTACTGTTTAGAAGGAGTTCTTGAACAGATATCCACATATATAGTAGATTTATGAATTTATTTTATTTTCACTAATAGCTTGATTACATTTCTCCAAAACTTTAAAAGAATCCTGACAGATTTGGGGAAAATGCAAATAGCACTTTGCCAAATTTCTACACCAGACAAAATCAGCCATAATGTTGGGTGGGATTAATGGCTATGACATATCCCTTTGAGACAGCAGGATAGCAACCCTCAGGGTAGCTAGCTGGTCCACATATGTGCCATGAAATCCATTTGGTCTGTGAGTTTTGGCATGTTATGCACACACCTAAATAGACAGCTCAACTTTCTGGAATACCATTTTCAATTTTACTCACCCAGTGGGGTTGTGAATTCCTTGCACAAGGTGGCGATAACTTTCAAAGGACTGAGACTTGTGCCAGGAACAGAGCCCTAATTTGATCCCCAGTTTTGGACAAAAATACATAGCTAGAATCAGAACCTTAAGAAAAGGTTGGGGTTTTTTTTGTTTGTTTTTTTGCTGAGTGTGGGGGGCTAAGGAACCTTTGGGTAAAATGACGCCAAATCTGGACTATTAATCTTACCATGTGACCCAAAGAATACACAATTTCAAATCAAACCAAGTAACTGTAGATTTTAGAGCAGAGTCCAGTTTAAATAGAAAACTGTTCTAAACCTAGTGCTGCTCCTGCACATTGCTATAGATGAGACTTCAGCCAGGATCCCAAAATCTGTGGGCAGTAATGCAACCAAAATCCAATGAGTTGAGTGATAGCTGGTATGTTTTTATGACTGTCTCAGCCGCAAGTCACTCTTTGCATCTTTTACTGGCCTTTCTCAAAGGACATAGGAAAAGAGCATGGGGAAGGTGGGGGAAAGAGGTAGGCTATGGAAATAACTGGAACCTTCTGCCTCTACTCTTAGTTTAACCTCTCCTTCCTGTCTTGGGTTAGTTTTTCCTCCCTTCCACATTTTCCTCCTGCTTCTCTGTTCTGTTGACCATGTCATCCACCCTCAGCAGATGATCAAATAAAAATTCAAACAACTGTCTGCTAAAGCATTTGCATCTGGTTAACTGGCACCCTTTTCGGCAGGCTTAGGAGACAGGCTGAAGGCTGAATAGGTGTAGACTGGCATGGCATCTTGTCATGTCTAAAGGTCAGATGTCCCCAAATAAGGAGTGAGGCAGATTTGAGGCAGGCTATGGCCCATGCTACACCTAGTCTTAGGATAAATAACTCCTCTGTTTCCACAGATGTCATTCTAGTACTATCCACTAGCACAACAATCACAAAAAGCAAATCAGCTGACAGCTTATTCTTCTTACATAAACAAATACAAGTTAGTCTTAAATGGAAAGTCTGAGTGATTGATGTTTTAATATAGCTGTGTTTGTGTCATTAAAAATGCCCTGGCATCAATATTGATCTCTGAAAAATTGTTTCCTTGAATCTCATTTATAAAGGGAGGGGAGAGGAGAGAAAACAAACCTAGTTTCTGGATTGAAACATTCTAGTATTTTCACTTCCTAGTCCATCCCTCTGTCCTCTCACCCTTCACACAAGCAGATTACACAGCTACAATGTTAATAGGAAACAGATGGATATCTAGAAAAATAAAACCTCATCTTCTTAACAGGGAGGGTAATTAATGACTAGAGCAGCTTCTCAAGTGATGTGACACATTCATCATCACTTATACCTTTTAAAGTGAGGTAGAATGTCTTTTTTTTAAGGTAGCCAGGTTTAAAACAAACAAAAGCAAGTTTTTCTTCTTGCAGCACACAGTCAATCTGTGGAACTCTTTGTCCAAGGATGTTGTGAATACTAGGACTTTAACAGGGTTTAAAAAAGAACTAGATAAATTCATGGAGGTTAGGTCCATCAATGGCTATTAGCAAGAATTGGTAGGAATTGTGTCTCTAGCCTCTGTTGTCAGAGGCTGGAAATGGATGACTTGAGAGAGATGATTTGATGATTCCCTGTTTCACTTCATTCCCTCTTGGGCTTCTGGCATGGGCCACTGTTGGAAGACAGGATACGAGGCTAGATAGACTTTTGGTCTGACCCAGTATGGCCATTCTTATATTCTTTCTAAAAGATACACTCTGAACACAAGTTATTGAACCCCAAAGCATTCTCTTACGTAGTAGGAAAGAATAGTTCTGCATGAATTAATGGTGAAAAATCTATGTCCTAATGTTATGCCAAAGATCAGACTCAATTATTATAATCCCTTCTGGCCTGAAAAAAAATCAATGAATGAAAATGCACACAAAAAACAGAATATATTAACATCTATCAGCAGAAAAAGACCTTGAATGTTCTACACACATTAGCCATATCACAGCTCAAATGAAAAAGATTGTGGCAATTCCTATAATTGATTCTCTGTTCAGCAACTACTTCCTTTCATAATTTTGCTGAATGTGATAGACCAGTCTTGTGGGATTTAAAACCTGACAATAGAGCTACTGCAGACATATGGTTTAATGGGATGGTGACTGGGCAACAAAATATTATAATAAGGAACACAAGCTGTGCGGGGCAGTGGGGAACAGATTGGCATTAGAACAATATAAAGACAGAACTCTGCAGTCTGAAACTAAATAAAACTGAATTTTATTTCTCTGTGTTGCAGTGTGATGCCTCTACTTTAATCAGAAAACCACATCTTGTTTACCTCCAGATCTGTAACTAGCTTTATTTTTTTTTTCAGATTGAAACCTATTTTTACATTCTGAGAAAAACAACTTCAGCATAACTTTGCAGATCAGTGACAAAAGTAAAGTAAGCCTTTTTATTTTGGGAGAACCCTCTGTTGTTACCTCTGTTTCTCCCTCTTCTCATCCTCCTTCAGACTCAATAGAGCAGTGTTTAGGTATCTTTTGATGCTAATTGATACCACTTCGGGTAGCCACCAGTAGGGGTCACTCCAACAATGCTCTCAAGGGATGACAACAATTAAAGTGCATATTATACTGTACCTCTCTTTGTGCTGTACCAGCTACAGTCACGCCTATGTTCTCACCCATGAAAAAATAGGTTTGGATATGGTGTAGCTGGGGAAAGGACAATGAGAAATAAGATAGTGCTGCAGGACGTGTAGAAGTAATTGAGTAGATGGCACCTTCCCCCCTGAAAAATAGAAGTAATAGCCCAATGAAGGGGTTAGGAAACTCTGATTGTTTTTCAGAAGAAATGTAAACCAACAATATTTAGGTTATTAAGAGCGAACTGCAGGCCAGGCCTTAGAGTCCAGGCCATGTTGCAACTTGTATAATAACATTAATTTTGTGTACTATTCTCTCCGTGGTTTCAATTCAAGATGGTATACTTCATTTCCTGTCATAAACTGTCATGTAATGCTACCATATGCTGTTAAACGCATGTCGCAAGGCATCCCATTGATGGGGGATATGATTGCTCTGCTTTGTAGTCTTTCAAGATACAAAGATCTCTTGAATCTAGCCTAGGCCATGTGTTTATTTCACTTTGAGTGTTTTTCCATACTAATGAGTTTTTGACAGTGGTCTCTTTCCTGTCATTGTATGATCAGCTGGGCAGTGATTCAAACACAGTGAGAAAGATCACTGTACAGAAAGGAAACCGCTGCCTTAGGAAATTAAGGTCCCAGCAGAAGTCGTTGTGAGCGACTTGTGTCTTTCAGTCTGTTTGGATTAAAGCTCTAGTCACCTTCTGAGGTAGAGCTTGTCTAAATGTTTTGAAAAATCTAAAATTTCAGTAAAAAATACTTTCAGGAGAAAGCTTCATTCTTCAGGGAGAGAATCTGTGGCTATGTATTCCTTCTATTCCAAATGCAACACCTGCAGTGAACAAAGTTGATGGATTTCTCTTTATCTGAACTGATTATTTTCATTACTAATCTAAAACTAAATCTCCTGTCTGTCATTTGAGATTATGTCTAGACTGTGTTGCTTTTGCGGGATACTGGAGGTATCCCAAAATAGCAATGCCATGTCCAAGGAATGCATCCTCTTTTTTGAAATTTCTTTGAAAGTACGGATGTGCTCTTTCACCATCCCTGCAAACCCCGTTCTACAAGGAATAAGGGATGGTTTGAAAGAGCACTTTCTTTTGCAATTTTGTGCTGGATAGATGCACCAAATTTTGAAAGAACCTCTTTCAAAAGTAAATTGAAAAAAGATACGCAATTTGCATACTGCAAATTGCGTATCTTTTTCCGATTTAACAGTGCAGTCTAGACATAGCCTGAGGGTCAGTGAACATGCTGGGAATATAGACGTGTCACCTCTTTTATGTTCCCTTATGGATTTCAAAATATTTAATATGATTCAAATGAAGAATATGGGCCATTCTAACAAACTGTGTTGAATAAATGGAATCTTTCATATTTTCATCTGCTGTGTGATGAGATATTATTCGGAAAACTGAGCACAATTAAAATCTACATGTAATTAGTACACAAGAATGCAGCTGCAAGTTTATCTTTGGTAAACAACCAGAAAAACCTGAATCTTCCAATTGAGATGTTTCCTCCATAATACTTATAATTTGCTGCAGTGTCTTTAGCAGTTTTCATCCTCCTTAAGGGATGTGAAAATAGAAAATGAAATGGGTGGATCAAAATTCTGTAGCACCGTCTCTGCTGAGCTACTGGAACTGACATTAACTTCATTCAGACAATACGATATATGATGTAATGCAGAGGTCGGCAATCTTCGGCACGTGGCCCATCAGGGTAATCCACTAGTGGGCTGTGAGATTATTGTTCACATTGACCATCCACAGGCATGACCCCTCATAGTTCCCAGTGACCACGGTTCACCATTCCCAGCCAATGGGAGCTGAGGGAAGTGGAGCGGGCTGCATGGATATGGTGGCTGTAACCTTCTGCAGCTCCCATTGGCCGGGAATGGCAAACCATGGCCACTGGGAATATACCTTGTGGCCTGACAGCAGATTACTCTGATGGGCTGTATGCTGAAGGTTGCTGACCCTGGTATAATGTTTACCTTGTGATTGGTCACCTGTAAATTTAGACCAATTTACATCCCACAGTAGGACCAGAACTCTTACTGTTCACATTGAAACTTTCCTGATCTGCTGTTTCATTGTGAACCCAAAACCAGAGACAGGAGTAGTCTCCTGTTTTGATGGGTGCATTGTTCTGTGCTCCCGGGGCGAGGGTGGAAGCAACCACCTGCAGCAGTACCCCCACCCTAGGACCACAGTAAGAAGATGCCCTAGAAGGCAGGACAGAGGGGAGAACAAACAAGGGAGCCAGTCCTGAGTGGCACTGTGATCTCGTGTGTCAGATAATAAAGCCTAGATCAGGGATCCAGGCCCATCCCTGTGAGACAGGAACAAGTGACGTGGGGTAATGTGGGGACAAGTGAGTGCTCACTGGTCCCCACATTACCCCATGTCACCTGTTCCTGTCTCACAGGGATGGGCCTTGATCCCTGATCTAAGCTTTATTATCTGACACATGAGATCACAGTGCCACTCAGGACTGGCTCCCTTGGTCTCACAATTTCTAGGAGTACAATTGAACCCCTGTGAAAGCTGTGCTGGCTCTAAAACAAATTCCAGTTCTTTGAGAGCATCACTAGGACTGGAGAACATGAGGATGCTATGGTGTGAAACCTGGTGATTTATACTGAATTTTGTTTGGACTTCTGGTTTCTGATTTACTTAAAACTCAAAGAAAAATTGGAGGGATGTTGTAGCTAAGTGATAGGATTAACTGAGTTACCAAGAGTATTGTAAAATGAAGCCTGGCTCCCACCCCATCCCTTACTTCTTGTTTTGTCTGTGAGAGTTTCCTCCATCATACACACACACCTGTTGTGGTACAGTTAAAAAAAAAGCAGCAAGTTCACAGCCTGCCATCCTGCATTGACTTATTTTTGTTGCACTTAACTGTCCCGTTACAGAAAACTCCATCCCTTCTGCCTTTGTAGAAGCCTCTGCAGTTGCAAACCAAATGTACTGATCTAGCAGAACTGTAGCCACAAGATATTTCAACAAAGAACAGTCCTGGAGCAAACTAGAGTGTGGATAGAATAGGGCATGAATTGCATTCTCCTTCCATTCTGCCATCACTTGCCTGGACTACACTGTGAAATTTAGTCTTCTCTGAACACAACTGTTGGTAGTTGAGCTTGCGGGGGCTGAGCAGAATTGAGCAGTCAGTGTAGATCTGGGAAACCAATGTTCCTCATCATATCAACTGTCTCATTAAATGCTCAGTAATGAGCTTAGCTGACCTGGTGCTGAGTGTGGTCTATGTTCATGGCTATACTGTCTTTCAGTCTTCTCTCAGCTAATATGTTTGATGACAACCGTGTTCAGACTTGGTAGAATGTGATAGACCAGCACAATTCTGAGACTGACATTCAAACTTTCCTAGTCTCTCCATTGATCTTGCCACTGGAAAAGGATTGAGGGAGGTAAATCAGGCTGCAAAGTGCTGAAGCCGTTTGATACCTAAAGAAGTCACTTGTCTGTTTGCTGCAAGGGCAGCCCAGAATTATCTCAGAAGCTCAGATGAAGAGGCTTAATATCTGCAGTCTTCTGCCAGCACATTGTACTCCAGGAGGGGAAAAAAAGACTTGAACTGAAAATAAATTCTGCAGGCATCTTTCTTTCTAAGGTCTGTCTGCAGGAAGTCAATTGCTATGCCATTAACTTTATAGAAGTGCTCAGGGGCCAACAGTGGAATAATGCCTTAACAGTCACCACTGTTCTGTTGTTATGAATCATTTTAGCTGCTTGAGGCACTGCTGGAGGAGTCATTTCCCCTGCAAAAATACAGAGTAAGGAACTATAGAAAATGTAAGCTCCCATTGTCAAAGGTTTACCTTATTTAAACCAAAATGTATTACCATGTCTTCCAGTGGACCAAATGGGTTGTGAAATTCATCGTTTTACTGGAGAGCCAAGTATGCTTTGAAATTACAAGCGAGTCACTTTTGAAATTGCTTCTGTTTTAATTGCAATAGCAAATTGCCTTTTATCCTCCCATTAAAGTCCCCTGCAGTTTCAGCTAGTTGCAAGTGTCTTTATGAGTTGACCTAACATGTTGTGTAGGGTTAGTGTAAGCATAGTTACATTTGTGAAAAGGCCTGCTGTTTTTGATCCCAGAAATTGAAGCCTTTAGCCAGTGGGAGGAAGAATGATGTGATATGGATCTAGGGTACATTGTAACTGCAGAATTGGAATCTTTTAAGGCTCCTCCCTCAAAACTAGTCTGAGCGGGGAAGACAGGAAAAGAGTAGGGGAAGGGAGGAAGGAACACGACAGCAGGAAGTAACTAAGGAGAAGAACAGGAGACTTAAAGTAGTTTTAAAAAATGTACAACATCTTGTAGTGTATTTGAAAAAGCTGGAAAGATACAATATTTTACTGTTTTAAATATCTGTCTATCTAGCTATGCATGTCTGTTACTCATGCATTTGTACATAGATCTTATATCTTTGAAAATTAAAATTTAGCACCTTCTTAGAGGTGACCTAGCAGTCTGCTTTGTGAGGTCATATAGTCTCCTGTTGGCTAGTGGAGAAGGAATTTCATGGATTTGGAACATCTTTTGGGCAATGGAATCAAAGCTTTCATCCAAACAATCTCCTTGCTGCAGTGTTTGCACTTAAAAACCTTTTTCTATGTTGAGAGATTTGCCATTCTGGGATTCCCTAATTTAGGTATCAGGAACATCTCAAAACCACAGAGTCCTTTCTTCAAAACTGAAGAAATGTTTTAGGTATAGCCATTGTTAATGACTATTGCTTTCCTCTGACAATCTA